TTTATAAGTATATTTACGTGTATTTTAAAAGTGATATCAAGAAATTTTATAGTGATAGAAGACTCTAAGATAATGCTACATATATATGAGTAATAATGATGACGATAGTTGACACGTAGTAGTGTTTTGGACTAGGATAAGATAGTATATTAGAAATGGAAAGTATAAGATATAAGGTGTGTATAAGATGTGGTAAAGTTAAAGGTAATGTTAAAGTAGGTATATATTTAAAGTATACAGGGCATTTGGATGTAATTAGTAACAAGTTAAGTCATGTTAGTATAAGTAGTACTGAGATATGATGTAGATAAATAAAAATATATGTTGGTAGCGTTTATTTTACAAGTCGAAGTAAAATAATATTTCATCAATGATATGAAGTTGAAGAATAGTAGAATATAATGTAGTTGTCAAGAATTAATTGGAAGACTAGTAATAAGGTCTATTATTTGAACTTGAAGTAGGTTAGAAGTAGGTTTTACTACATATAGTAGAAATTATAAGTATTAGTACTAGACTTAGCAAACTAAAAATGGGGTAAAGTTAGTGATAATGTTATAGCAAGTATGAAATAAGTATAAGCACGGTATTTAGATAGCAGTAGAATTAATTAAAGTAATGTTAGTATAAGCAGTAATAAAATAGGCTACAGTTAAGAAAGTATATATGGTAGTAGCGCAAAATTATAAATTGAGGTGAAAGTGGAATTGCGTAGTGATATTAAAGTAAATTGAAGTGTAATGGTATCAGGGCTATTTGAATAAAGCAGAAGGTAATAAAAAGATAGATTATGTGGAGGTAAGAGTAAGTTTGTAGTAATTTATGTGAAGTATAGTAGATATTTTATTAGGTAATAAGGGTGATTGTAAGTTATTGTATGAGATTGGAAAAGAGGCTAGTAGTATTAAATTATTAATATAAAGGAATTCGGTAGATGTTTTATTATAATAAGTAAAGTTAGAGTTAGTATTACAGAGTTAGAAAATATGTAGAAATAGTTAAATATTTGAATAAAATGTGAAATAAAAAGTTGGTTTAGTAAGAAGTGTAAATGGTTGAAGGTGATAATAGATAATAATTGAAAGTATGTAAGTGTGGAGGTGATTATATATTAATAATAAGCAAGTTAAAATCATTTTAAGTGTGATTAATTTTTGAGAATTTGGTTAGATTATTGCGAAAAAGTGTTAGCATGAGAATAAATTTAAAAAAAAAATGATAAAGATGATATAGTATATAAAATTATGAATATGCAATTATAATGCTAATATTATGTTATAAGATGAATTAACGAGTGGATAATAAAAATATAAGGTATAAAGCAGTTCAAGTGGTGTAAGGTATGGTAGTATTGTAATATAGTATAGTTTGAAAATGGGAGCGCATGTTTAAAAATTTAAGCAAGGCTGATTTTGTGTTATAATATGAAGTAAAAAATGTAATAATAGTAAAGAATATGACAAGTAAAGTAGATTATATGTAGAACAAGAAATATAATAATAGTAAATATGTAATTATAAGTAAGAAAGTAAAGTTTGATTTAAGTAGCAGTATAATTGGTTGAAGTGTATCGCAAGGAATAGCATGGATATCGCAAGTGAATAATTAAAGTAATATGTAGTAATGAAATATGGATTGTGTGGGAGTAGGCTATAGTAGTTATATTAGGTTATTGTTAGAAAAGAGTTTAGAAGTGGAAGTGAATCGCACGGGAATCGCAAATTAATTAGTAAGAGAAAGTAATATGAAAGATAGATTGTGTGGAAGGAGTAATATTAAGTATTAAAAGTGGAAGTTAATCGCAAGGGATCGAATGGATATCGCAAGTGAATAATTAAAGAAAGTGATATGTAGTAAAGAAAGAAGGATTGTGTGGGAGTAGTAATGCTAGGAGTAGGTTATAGTAAATTGTAAGTAGTTATAGGTTAGTAAGTTAAAGTAAAGAATAAGAATAGTTAGAGATTAGAAGTTAGAAGCAGAAGTATAGAGATTAGTGTGAAGTATAGTAAGAATGAATAGTTGAAGTTTTAGTGAGATAAGTAGGAAGAAGAGATGTAATAGGAAGGAAAAGAAGTGAGAAAGTAAGTGTTAAAGTGTAAAAGGTATGTTAAAGTAGATGTAGAGTTAAGATAAGGAAGAGACGCAGTTAAAAAGAATAGAAAGGAGTGATGGAAAGGGTGGTGTGGTAGTAAAATGTGATAAAAGAGTTGGTTTATAAGATAAGAAGTTGAGATGTAAATGGTATAGAAGAGAAGGTGGTTAAAGTTAAGTAAGTAAAGAATTAAGTGGTTAAGAAGTAGTAAGAGTAAGAATAGTGAGTGTTAAAGTAAGGGAAAAGAAGAAAAGAATAAAAAAAGGGAATTTTGAAAGGAAGTATGTAGTATTAGAAAGAGAAGTATTAGTATTGATTTAAGGTAATGTTGTATAGGAATGTTAAAGTAGAAGTAAGTAGTAAAATAATATTAGTAAGAAAGAAGAGATTTAAGGTATAGTAATAGTAAGATTGTAAAGTGGGAGTAGTATTGGAAGAGGAGAAAGTAAGAAGAGAAAGGTAGTTTGTAAATAAGTTAAGTTATAAGTAGAAGTAGAAAGGTTGTAGTTATGGATTATTAGAAAAGTAAAAGGAGTAAAGAATAGAGAAGGTAGAAGAAAATGATAAGTGATAGTATATGTAGAAATAGAAAAGAGAATGGTAAGAAATGAAGATGATAAGAAGTAAGGGAGAAGTAAGGTAGTAGTGATAAGTAAAGTAAAGTAAGGAAAAGAGTAAGAGTAAAGTAAGTAAGGAAAGGAAGAGAAGGAAGTGTGGGAGTAGTTGTGTTAATGGTAAGTTGAAGTAAATGAGGAAGAAGGAGTAGAGTGTGTAAGAAAGGTTAGTGAAGTAAAGTAGGAAGGGTTAGTAAAGTAAGTAAATGGAGGTGTGGTAGTAAAAAAGAAAGTAGAAGTTAAGAAGTAAAAGGTAAAGAAGGTGGTGTGGTAGAAGTAAAGTAAGAAAGGTTATTGTAGTAAAGTAAGTAAAAGTAAAGGGAGGTGGGGTAGAGTTAGGTAGAAGTTAAGAGGTGAGTAGTAGGATAAGTAAAGTAGTTAAAGTAAAGATAGGAAAGTAGTAGTAAGGGAAAGGAAATGGGTGAAGTAGAGGAAGAAGTAAAGTAGAAGTTAAGAAGTAGAGTAGAAGTTAAGAAGTAGAGTAGAAGTTAAGAAGTAGAGGGAGAAGTAAATGGTAAAGAGAAGGTAGTGTGGTAGTAGTAAAGGGGTTAAGTAATGATAAGAAAGTAGTAAAAGAATGAAATGGTAGAAGAAAAGGTTAAGAAGTAGAGTAGAGTAAGTAAAGTAAAGTAGAGTAAGTAAAGTAAGGTAAGAAGTAAAGTAGAAGGTAAGAAGTAAGGAAGAAGGTAAGAAGTAAGGAAGAAGGTAAGAAGTAATGAAGAAGTTAAAAGGAAGTGTGGTAGTAGTAAAGTGATAAGTAGAGGGTTAGAAGTAATGGTATAGTAAGAGTAGGTAAAGAAGTAGAAGGAAGTAAAGTAGAAGTTAAGAAGGGAGTTTGGTAGTAGTGATAAGTAAAGTAGAAGTTAAGGAGGGAAATGTAAAAAGTAAAGATGAGGAAAGGTAGTAAAGGTAGTTAAGAGTATTAGTGAAAGAGTAAAGGTAGGAAGGAAGTGGATTAGTGAAAAGAGTAGTAGAAAGGTAGTAAGTAAAGAGTAGAGGGGAAGTGTGGTAGTAGTAAAGAAGTAAAGATGAAGAGAGTAAGTAGAAGGGAAATGATGAAAAGGGTAGTGGAAGTAGTAATGAAGGAGGAAGTAAATGGTAGAGAAGGAGGTGTGGGAGTAGTAAAGTAGAGAAAGTTAAAGTAAGTAAAAGTGTGAAGTAAAGGAAGAAGTTAAGAAGGGAGTGTGGTAGAGAGGAGAAGTAGTTGAAGTAAAAGTAGAAGTTAAGAAATGGAAATGTAAAAAAGAGAGATGAGTAAAGGTGTGTTAGTAAAGGTGTAGTAGTAAATGAGTAAGTGTATGGTAAAGTAAAAGGAAGTGTAGTAGAATGAAGTGTAGTAGTAGAAGTAAGAGAGTTAATGTAGAGTAAAGGAAGTGTGGTAGTGATAGGGGATGTAAGAGGAGGTAAGTAAAGGGAAAGAAGAAGGAGTAGTAGAGTGGAAAGGAAGAGGGAGTGTGGTAGTAGAGAAAGTTAATGTAGAAGTAGAAGTAGTAGAAGTAGAAGTAAAGAAAGAAGTAAAAGAAGAAGTAAAAGGAAGTGTGGGAGTAGTATTGGTTAAAGAAAGGTAATGTATTAGAGAAAAGGGTAGTTAAAGAGTAAAAGTAGTTAAAGTAAAAGTAGAAGTAAAGGAAGAAGTAAAAGGTAAGGAGAAGGTAGTGTGGTAGTAGTAGTGAAAAGGAAGTGTGGGAGTAGTAGTGGTTAAAGAAAGGTGGTGTAGTTAAAGAGTAGTTAAAGAGTTAAAAGGTAGAGTATTAGGGAGAAGAGTAGTAAAAGTAGGAGAAAGTATGAAAGTGAAGGTAGAAGGAGTAGAAGGGAAGTGTGGGAGTAGTTAGGTAGTGTGTGTGAAAAGGGAGAAAGTAGGAGATGTATGGTAGTAAAGGTAGTTGAAGAGTAGTAAATGTTAAGAAAGAAAAGGTAGAAAGGAAGAGTGGAAAGTAGTGTAGTAGTGAAAAGAGTAGTTAATGTAGAAAAGAAAGAGTAGAAGTTGGTAAAGAAAGAAAGGGTAGAAAGAGAAGTGAAAAGGGTAGTAAGAGTAAAGAAAGAAAAGGGAGAAGGGAAGTGTGGGAGTAGTAATGGGAAAAGAGTAGTAAGAGTAGTAAGAGTAGTAGTAGTAAGAGTAGTAGTAGTAAGAGTAGTAAGAGAAGTAAGAGTAGTAAGAGTAGTAAGAGAAGTAAGAGTAGTAAGAGTAGTAAGAGTAGTGTAAAGAAGTAGTTAATGGTAGTTTAGAGTAAGTTGAATGGAAGTGAAAAGAGTAGGTTTTTGGTAGAAATTGGGTAGAAAGTTTGGATTGTTGGATGTTGGATGTTGGATGTTGGATGTTGGATGTTGGATGTGTTGGATGTTGGATGTTGGATGTTGGATGTTGGATGTTGGATGTTGGATGTTGGATGTTGGATGTTGGATGTTGGATGTTGGATGTTGGATGTTGGATGTGTGGATGTGTGGATGTTGGATGTGTGGATGTGTGGATGTTGGATGTGTGGATGTGTGGATGTGTGGATGTGTGGATGTTGGATGTGTGGATGTGTGGATGTGTGGATGTGTGGATGTTGGATGTGTGGATGTGTGGATGTGTGGATGTGTGGATGTGTGGATGTGTG